ATTAGGCTTTGAAACTTCTATAATATTTCATATTTATAATACAAATACTAATTTATTTTATATTATTTAATACTTAACTTAAAAATACTTAAAAAGTGAAACTAACTACAATCGTTATCATTTTCATCATCCATGTCAGGATGGAGCAATTCAATAATATCTGATGAAAATGCTTTTATATTCATACGCGGTTTTCGTGTACTACAGCTTATAATCTATTCAGTACATCTCGATTGTTTTCGCATCTGCTGAATTTCCTCGCATAATTGGTACGATATAATCTGAAGTTCTTATTTCTGCCCTCGGAAGCTTCTTCTGACAATTGTCCAATTAGCAAAATTGCTTGCTTTATTACAGTACCGCCATGAATAAGAATTTTGTGCATCGTTGGACTCATGGGGTGCCAACTATAGAGTTGGACATACATTACGGCAGTTTTATATGCATAATCTTCAAATTTTTCAATATTTATGCGATGTCCACTCGTTATAGCTTCCAATATTATATTTAGCCTTCGGATCAGTTCTTCATTTATTCCTGTGATTTTCGATACAGGTTTTGGGTCCGAAAAAATCTTTTTGATGTGTTGCCATCATTAGTACTGCCATATCCTGGCTTCGCCACTTTTGTAGTCCCAATTTATAAGACAGATGAAGAATCGATTCCAAAAATCTAATGCTCGCGTGTAATGTAGATAATCCAAATTTCAAAGCATTAGGGTTTAAAGGAACATTCCTCTGCAATGCGCTAAAATCTTTTTCAATTAATTCCAATTGATTTTTTTATTTGTTATTTAAATGTTTTTTGTTTTAAATTTTTTTTCCTTTTGTTGATTTTAAAAATTTTAAAATAAAAAATTTTGAATGACAATTGATTTTCAACTTTGCTGCGTCGCTCATCATTGCCAAATCAAAATATTCGTAATGTGTCAATATTTGTATATGGAAAATTTTGTAAAAACATTAATTTTATTAAAGCAATGCTGCTGCCGCTTGAAAGTACTTTTAAAAACCTCATACTGCTCCATGTGAACCAATAATTATAACAGAGCCCAATTCAATTATTCGAACATCAATTTAGAACATTTTCTTTGAAAAATATTTGGAATTTTACACAAAATACGTATTAGTTTTGGAACATATCATATTCGTAGTATTTACTTAAAATTGTATGTACATTAGGAACAAGGTAATTCACCTTTAACGGTATCACTCAGATCTGTAGAAAGTTTGAAATGCAAATTATTCTAGTATTGAAAAATAAAGTTTGTATTCGACTGTGCCGAAATTAAACACTAGGGTTGTCAATTATTCATGTTTAAAATTATTCGAATAAAAATGTACTTTATTTATTCATTCAAATAGTCGATTAAATTTTAAAAATTATTCGATTATTCGAATGAATAACGAATAAGTTTTTATTCGGATAATTTAATAAAATATAAATAAAACTTGCCAAAAACCTTCTTTAGATACGGATAAAAAACAGTTTTCGTACAAAAATACATTAAACTGTCTACCTGTTTTGCAGACGTTTTTACAAACTGTTTTATATAAAATATCGTACAATTTATTAATGTATTAAAAACAGGCAACTGTTTCGGGCTTTTCATGAAAAAAAAGGTCTGTTGTTTTCAATGTTCTGAAACTCAGTTTCCTAGACATAATTCCTAAGAATTTCCCAATCAGTGTTCGTGAGATCCGCTTGATCAAGACATTCTATTTCGGCTCAGACATGTTCTATGATTGTTTATAGCCTTCCAATAATGACGTGGCCTATAACCGCTTTTGCCCAGTTCACCTAAAGTTATGAGCCGTTCGGTTGTAAGTGCCGCCTCATATCTTAAGTATGTTTTAATGGCAACGTTTCCAAGGCCTTGGTTGAAGTAGTACACATGGCACCATTTATACCCAAGCACAGTGTGACCAGGTCTCAAAAAATGTTGCGGCTAAATCCCATCCAAAATAATGCCAGAAAAAATGCTAAATTGATTTTAAAATGCTAAAGTTTTTTATGTGTTTTTATGAACAATTCATATTAATTTGTAACTGAAATTCATTGTAATTTATAACAAGTAAGAAAGTATATTCTGCCGTGGTTGACCATATGAGTATAAAATTTGATTTATTTTTCGTAATAAAGCATTTATGTTGAATTGAACCTTGGTTCCGATATATTTAAACTAATTTTCTGAGAAAGGCTTTATACATTTGTATATGTATGGGGGCTAGGTAAAATAAAGGACGGACTTTAACCATTTTTAAAAGGTTTTGTCATTGGATCAAAAAGCATACGTGCTTATTGTTTTGAAAATTTCAAGCTCTTCCTGACGGTCAGACTTACATGGCTTAATCGATTCAGAAAATGATTCTTAACCGATTAGTATACTCAAACGTAGTATAGTGGACTAGGGTAAAAAATTAAGTTCTGTGGTATTAAGATAAACAGAAATGCTAAAAATTATTTCAAAATTTTTGTAAATTTAGCAATATGTAATGTCTCTAACTTTAAAATATTTCTGAATACAAAAATTACATTAAAACTCTATTAATTACACTAGTTGCTCATAGTATAAAACCTATGTATATGTGTTTTCGGAAGGAAAAGTATAATATTTCTAGTTTTACTTTTTTATATAAACAATTTTATTTGTCTTCCTCAAAACACGTTAGAAATGGTTTTCATGTCACAAAAATATTGAAAATTCCGTTGAAATAATTTTAAATCTCGGTGAATAGATGTCAGGTTTATAACTCATACTTCCAAGATTTTTTCGGAAAAATATATATGAGAATGTATGAAATGAATTGAGAGATATATTCAAATCCGTAAGTTTGTAATTCTGAAATAAATTGTCAACAATATTTTCGAAATTTATGTATTTTTTTTAATTAAAAAAAAAGTGACAACAAAATTACTAAAAATTTGGTAAAAATAAAAAGAACAGAAAGTAGGATGAGAAAGTCTTAATTATATATTATTGATTTTTTTCAATACTTATTTTCAATAAATTAACAAGAACTTTATTTCGTATAGGAAAAAATAAAATTTGTTAATTAACCGTCATACATAGCCTTTTCCAAAATTATATGTTTCATTCCATGAGCAAACAAAAAGTATTAGTTTGTAAAATAACGTACTGAACGTACTTATTTGTAAAAATATATGAAATCTCTTGAATTATTTCTATCACTTCGAATTTAAAAAATCATTAGGTTCCAGAAAAATATTTTAGAATTCAACATTTTAAAGTATTCACTTGTATTGGCGTAATTTTAAGTTATTTATCTTCATGAATCTTTTTGCATTATCTTGAATTACAGTGTAAATTATTACATTTCTCATATTTCTTGTTGCTTGTGTTTGTTCTGATTTTTTCCGGTTAAACCTATTTCCAATATAAATCTTTTTTGCAAAAATTTGTCTTTTTTTTGTTTATATACTAAAATTGCAAAAAAAGCTAAAAATGCTAAAAATATTTTATAAAAATGCTAAATAAAATGCCAAATGCTAAATTAAAATTTTACAGCTAAATCAAAATAAAAAATGCTAAATCTAGCTGCAAAAATGCCAAAATGGTCACACTGCCCAAGCAGCATGTACGCCGAACTCCCTGTTGTAGTTTGATATTACACTTTTTGTCCAAAGCAGTCCACCAGATTATTGAAGCATAAGCTAGAATTAGTCTAATTAAACTTTTGTTAAACCGATGTGTCATAGTAGGACTAAGACCCCATTTCATGCCTGTAGTTCTCCTACATATCGCCCAGCACCAATGTGCCTTTTTGATCCTATCCTCTATGTTGTCTTTCATGTGAAAAGACAGATACTTTAAGAACCAAATTAATTAACGTTTATCTGTTTCACTCATTGGAAACATTTAAACAAAATAAGAGAATCATATTTAAAACTAGATCCATGTTATTTTTAACATTGTTAACATAAATGTTTATAAAAAAGTTGTAAAAGTTTAGATTAGATTTGTTTTACAAAATATTAACATCATTTTAATGCTATGATTATTAAAATATCCGTAAAAAGTAATTTTTAAATATTATTCGAATATTCGATTAATCGACAAAAATTGTTCGAATTTAATTTATTCTAAATTGGAAATTTTTTTATTCGTTCGAAGAAAAACAAATTTTTTTCCTCGATTAATCGAATAATTTTTATTCGAATGACAACCCTATTAAACACTCACCATCAAAATATTGTAATGTATTGATATTAATATGAGCATCAATGTGATTTTCAGAGGAGGTCCTATTAGGTTTTCTTCTGTCAATTTTGGTCCAAATTTGCAGCCTAAATAGAATGAGTCTTCTAGCTCGTGTTCAATCAATTTATGTATATGTATATGTGTATGGAATCATACCCAGCTAGCATTTTCTTTCAATAAAGGGTCTTCCGCGATTGGAGGTGGCGATTAAATTAATCTTCCACGATATCGTATTCCAATTACGAAAGTTCAACGCAACGGGAGTAACTGTGTCACAGCCGCGACTCTTCTCTATGAATCGTCTACGATGTGTTAAAAAGAGTCTTGACACAATCGTCTTAATGAATCTTCTACGATGCGATAAACAGAATCTTTACACAATCGTCTTAATGAATCTTCTACGATGCGATAAACAGAATCTTTACAAAATCGTCTTAATGAATCTTCTACGATGCGATAAAAAGAATTATAGAAGAGTCTTGGAACGATCGTAAAGAAGATTTTAATTGATCCTAAAATGCCTAAAAATATGCTAAAAATAAAAAGTATTGATATTCGTTTTATACTGTTTATTGCATTGGCATTTTTTGTCAACTTTAAATAAAAAAAAAATTAAATATAAATTTGAATTCAATGATGAAAATAAATACATACATATGAATAATAGAAATAATTATGCAATAGAAAAATTATTAAAAAATAAAGTTATTTTTATAAATTTGAATTCAATTATGAAAATAAATACATACATAAGAATAATGGAAATAATTATGCAATAGAAAAATTATTAAAAAATAAAGTTATTTTTCAGCCAAATCGTCAATTTTCTTGGCTTCATCAATCTTTTTGGTTCGGTCACTCTTTCTGAGACGGTCACCAGCATGAACAAAATGTTGTTGTAATACCTTATTTATACCTGCATCATCAGCTTTCGGAAATTTTGAATGGCACACACCTTTAAAAAGAAAATAATTAGAATTCAGTAAAATCATGTTATAAAAAATACTTACTTGTTATAATTTTCGTTATATTGAATTCCTGAATACTGGGCTTACTTTTCGTTCCACGCCAACTCAATTTTGCAGCCACATCATCGCTCAGCATTTTTTTAATTGCATTCCTGACAAACGAGTTGGAGCTGTCGCCACCCACTTTACCAATAACGTATTTCTGTAAAAATTTTGATATGAATATATGTATATATGTATGTTTATATTAAAAAATATGTATATAGACGGATAATTATATACATACCAATTGAGCTACAATATCCACGTTCTCTTCTATTTGTTTATGTAATTCTTCCAACTGTTTTACAGTTTTTATGGGTAAAGGTGGCACTAAATTGGTTTTAATTTCCTCAGAATAAATTAATTTTAATTGACGCACTTCATTTCTTACGGTTATCACTTCCTCTGTTAGTCTGCCGATTTGCTGTTTTAGCGTGCGCACTTCTCCTAAAATCTCCGTCAACATATTTTGTTTACTATCTGAAAGAATTAATGTAATATAAAGTATAATGAATGAAATTATGACATTTATAATGTTCTTATACCTGTCTGATTATCTGGCGGTTTGTTTTGTATTTGTTGCAATTCACTTCTTCTATATATTCAACTGGAAAATTATCGCAAACGGATGATGTTTCAGTGAAATCCGATTCAACCAATTTTTCGAAAGAACTGACTTTCATTGGGACATCATCGCAATCAGATGTTTCCCTGCCTTTAACTTGTTTTTTGGATGATCCCACTTCATTATAAGCAGACTCCATCATATTTTTTGCTTCTCGTTTGCTTTTTAATCTTATTGCTTTATTTGATAGCATTATAAATTATTTTATATTATAAATTTAATTTTTGATTTCTAATAAAACACTTTTTAGTTAATACACTTAGTATTTATAAGAAACTTTATTAAAAATTAAATTTTTAATTTAATAAACTTCAAAAACCACTTTTTATTCTTACTTGTCTCGACACTGATTATAAACTGAGTTGAAAAGAAGACAAAATAATTTGTTTTTGCTAAACGTTTATACGTATAACGGTAAAATTCGCCCAACTATCTCCAGAATCCGTAATCGGCGATTGTTGCGTAATATAAATAAACCGGTTTGACAATAATATATGCATCATTTGGAAGAGTAAAATATGATCGTTGACTAACAACAATCCTCCGATGATCGCTAAAATACATAAGCGACGATTAATTCGTTCAACAATCGCCAAAATTACTCGCAAAAGCATCTTTTGGTTCATTAAAATATATATTTTTTTAAATAATCGTCAGGACGATTATAAAACGAGTCACAAAATGAAACAATCGTCTGGAAGATTGAAAAAAGATTCACAAAATGAGGACAATCGTGTGGACGATTAAAAAAATAGTCGCAAAATCATCGCGCTCGCCAATGAATCATGTAAATGCTAGCTGGGTACCTCTTTAAAAAATAAAAGATTCAAATATGTATAAAATTAGCTGTGCTGAATTTTGTTTTGCATAAGTCAAAAGTAAAATAAGATTGTTATTTTAAAACTAATGAAAACAAGTAAGAGTGCTATATTCGGCTGTGCCGAATCTTATATACCCTTCACCATAGTGTATTTAAAAATTCATTTTCCCGACTACCGCTTGTATTTATAAAAAAATCTTATTTTGCTTTTAATGCACTCAATAGTTAAAGCACACTTTAGCCTTCAAAACCATTAATAAAATTGTGATATTCATAAACAAATAATAAACGTATATTAACTATTGTGCTGATTTATGTTTAGTTGGCAGCACTGTACAATATGGCTGTCATTTTATGTGTTAGTGTTGCGTACAATTAGGATAAAATATTCGTTGATTCGGTTTTCTTAATTTCATATTTTTGTTTATAATAGATTTTTGACAATAAAAACAAACTTTTAAGAAAAATAAATATATATATGGCTTTAATAAATGTCTATTTAGTTCAGATGTATAAATATAACATATAATTTCTAATTATTATTAAAAGTATCCGAATAACGGATATTTTGCGACAAAATATACATCACTATGACACATTTTCTTATTTTTACTTATTTTTTTACTTATTTTCCTTGTAATTTTTGATAAATTTTTGCAAATATTGATAAATTTCTTTGATATTTGACTAATTTTAATGCCGGCGAATATATTTTGCATTAGTATAACACTAATCAATATAATTTACATGGTTAATTACTTTATGGCATTATATTTAACCAACAAACTTTGAAAAAGCCAAATCAAATGATTTTGTCCATCATTTGGTTGACAGACGGGCATTTCCAAATTGCCTAAAAATAGTGCTGGACAATTGGAATATTGTCAAATATTCATGCATTAATCCAATAATGCCTAGATTTGAGTTTTTTCCTCAAAATATAATCGTTTTCTGAGATTTTATTTACAAATTGTAAACGTTAAAATTAGAATTTTTAGACTTTATTTTAAAAGAAACCATAATTAGTTTTCGCAATCAACCTAAAATTACCGGAAAAATCTTTATCTGAGAAAAAAATTGTTAAAAATCAAGTTATTGTTGGCTTAAAGAAGGGTCGAGCCTACAATAAAATTCTTCTAATTGTCAATAGTTTATTGAAGGTGTTTTAAGCTATTTCACGTTTATAAATACGATTTTCCTGAATTTTGCCTAAAATTGTTTAATAAACCTAAAATAAGTTTTTATAAATACAGCCGTACATCTTTATTATAGCAATAGCAAAACATAATGAACAACAACAACGCTAAACGAAATAAACACACAAAAAAATACACAAGGCAGTAAAACCAACACACATCCAAACATACGAAACGAAATACAGAAAAAAAAAAAACAAAATACGCAACGCAATGAAACCAACAGACATAGAAAAGGTATACATAGAACTGAAACTGAGTATGAGTGCACTTATAAGGTGAAGTCAATTCAACAGCTGATCACTCATTTTTTTATTTGAGGTAGATACAACTGTCAAAGTACACCATTTAGAGTTTATTGTGTATGAACTTATTTTATTGAATATAAAACAACGAATAATATATTTTTATATGAAAAATTAAAGTATAAAAAATGACAAATAAGTAAAATGAAATTTGATTTAAATATTGATGATACAAGTTAAAACACAACACTCTTCTCCCCTTTTCGAATTGATAATTGGAATAGTTTGTAAACGTCATTTGGGACTAAACAATACTCGAGGTTTTGGAGGGCGAGTTGATCTTCGAGGAGCAATCGGAGTAGTAGGCATTGTTCGTTCTTGAATCGGATCTGCTGTATTAAATTGTAAGACTGCTATATCAAGATGAGTTCGTAAAACTCGTCCTAAAAACAGTTGAGATGGTGGTTGACCTGTGGTAGAATGTGGTGCTTTTCGATACTGACGTAGAAATATGTTTAAATTTTGTTGAAGATTATTCCGGGAGGTTTGCATCGCTCTTAAAGCATCTTTCACCGTTTGGACATTTCTCTCGGCTTGTCCATTAGAAGACGGATGATATGGGGCTACAAATTTGTGATATTTTCCATTATCACTAACCACTGTAATGGGCACTCCATAAGCAGCGAAAACTTCGTCTAAAATTGCTATTGTTGCACTTGATGTCATTGACTGTGTTACTTTCACTTCTAGCCATTTACTATAAGCATCTGAAATCACAAGTAACATCATACCCGCAAAAGGACCAGCATAATCGATGTGTATCCTCTCCCAAGGACCCTTCGGGTATTCCCAATGGTGTTCTCTGAATTTTGGTGGAGCATGGGCATGTTTGGCACAGTCTAAACATTCTCTTACGGCATTTTCTATATCGCTATCTAATCCTGGCCAATATATAAACGATCTAGCCATTCCTTTCATCTTCACCATTCCCAAGTGTGCTGTATGTAAGTCTTTCAATACTAACTTCCTGAGCGATACTGGAATCACAATTCGATGCTCATACACCAAACAATTTGCTGCTAGTTTGTAGTTAGATTCTGGAGCTTTATATCCAGCACGAGTTAGGCACTGCCCTGATTCAAGTAAATGTACAATTTTTCCTAAATGTTCATCTTTCCGAATTTCGGCAGCTACACGTTCAGCATTTATTGGAAACTGGTTTATTTGACTTATAACGAAGTCGTCGAATTCGTCATATTCTTCTTCATTATTATTTTCACATGAGAATTGTGCAGAAGAGTGACTATAAATGGTATTTACTGATTTTAATGGAAGTCTTGAGCAGTAATCCGCATTCGAATTTTCCTTGGTAGACTTAAAAATGACATCATAGTTGAAATTAGCTAGAAAATCGGCATAATTAGCCATACGGCTAATGCATAAGTTTGGAAGAGACTTCTCGGGATGAAGAATTTGTGTGAGGGGCTTATGATCCGTTATCAACGAAAAATGACGAGCATAAAGATATAAGAAAAATTTTTTAACAGCCCACACTATAGCTAAAGCTTCCTTGTCAATTTGAGGATATCGTTGCTCTGTTAACGTCATTGTGTGACTAGCATATGCTATTGGACGTTCTTGACCGTTGCTAAGACGATGGGAAAGAACGGCACCTAATCCAGTCTTACTAGCATCAGTTGCTAATAGAAGTGGCAAAGATGGATCGTAGGGCATTAAAACCTGAGGTGATACCAATATGTTTTTTATATCTTCATAGGATTTATTTGCTTCTTCGAGCCATTTAAATTCTTCACCTTTTAACATTTTTCGTAGCGGTCTTTCTCTCGTAGCCAGATCTGGTATAAAGGAAGTATAGTAAGTTGCCTTACCAAGAAATAACTGGAGTTCTTTTGCAGTAGATGGTTTTGGGGCATCACGTATGGCCTCAATGTGTTTATCAGATTTGTGAATTCCATTGGAATCAATTTTGTGACCCAAAAATTCGACTTCAGGGGTGGCGAAGACACACACATTTTGACCGGTTTAGTCGTAAACCATGTTGTCTCATTCTTTCTAAGAGCATATCCAGTTTGTTCAGCATTGATTCGAAATCCTTTTCAAATATCAGAATGTCATCGAAAAAATTTCGTACATTTGGAATTCCTTGGAGAACAGTTTCCATGCGCCTTTGCCAGATGGCAGGAATATTTGCAGCTCCATAAACTGCGCGTGTTGGCCTGATTAATCCATGAGTAGGTGTATTAAGAGTTAATGCATGACTAAATTCCTCGTCCACCGGTAAATGGGTATATGCATCAGTTATGTCTAAATGGCAAAATATTGTAGATCCTTTCATTTCATTAAATATGAACTCTGCTCTTGGGATTGGATGTTCGTCAACAATCATCCGAGGATAAAGAGTAGTTTTATAATTACCGGTAATTCGAATTTTACTTCGCTACAACATGAGTGGTTGAGGCCCATTCTGAAAATTCGACTCGTTTGTAGTAGCCCAAAGCAATTTTCTTGTCAATTTCTTTAGCATCTCTCAGAGCTAGTGGTATTTCTCGAGCTTTTGCGAAGATTGGACTTGCATCAGCTTTAAGGTGAACTGATATTAGTGGTCCTGACAACAAACCATCAACTTCACCAAACACATCTTCATATCTTGCCAATAGTTGATTTAGAGTTTTCTGTTGATATTGAGTTAAATTTGGGGTAGCGGTTGTAATGGCGTTAATAGTACTTGTACATTCAGATGAGGAAAACAGATCGGAAAATTTAATTTCGTGAACAAACTGCGCTATCCACTCCCTTCCGAAAAGTGAATCAAAATTTTGTTCTACTACATACAGGTTTAGCTTTCGTGAAGTATTACCAACTTGTACGTTTACAGGTAACCGCCCAACGCATGAGATTCTATGGCGACTGTAACTAGAGAATTGTCTATCTGTTTTCTGTAATGAAAAATGATTTTTAATACTTCGAAGTGTTTTAAAACTTATAATACCACAAGGTGCTCCTGTGTCTAACTCCATGTTAATAGAGCGTTCATCGATTTGAACCTTCAACAATTTCCTATCTGTCGATTTATCGTTATGCAATTTGTTAAGGCTTTGTGTACCGACATCATCACATTCGGAGTAATATTCTTCATTTTCATTGAGTTGTGACGTTTTTGATTTGCATACTCTAGAGATATGTCCACGCTTGCCACACGAAAAGCATTCCACACTGTTGAACTTACAATTTTTTCTTAAATGTTGGCCACCGCAACCATTACAAAGGCCTCATGTAGCTTGTGCCTGTTTTGGCAGTTGACGTGTTTTATTTTTAAACTTCGGCGGCGAAAACCCTAGTTTGTTTGTCATTTCATTTAAAGGCATTGAGTCTGAACGATTGACTTGCACTGAAGTATTTCGAGTGACTTCAAGAGATTGAGCGATTTCGTATGCTGCAGCGAATGTATCAGGTTTCTTTCCAATGATTGCATTACATATTTCTCGAGACTCCAAACCATACAGAAGCTGCTCAATCAGCATTCTATCAAGGAAAGTTTCATATTCGCAATTAACTGCAGCTTGCTTGAGTCGCAGTGCAAAACTAGCTATTGTTTCGTCTTTTGATTGAGTAATTTGTCGAAATTTAATGCTTTCAGCAAACTTATTTTTTGCAGCATCGTAATGATTAATTAAAACCTTTTTTAATTCTTCATATGGTAAATCTTCTAGCTGTAATGGACTCACTAAAACTCGAAGAGCTGAGTTTAATTCTGTACCCATATTGACTCTTGCATATTGTGCATGCATCTCTACTGGAACAGAGCTAAGCTGCAATGCCCAATCAAATCGTGTGAAATAATCTTTCACTGTTATTGATTGTGATGAGCTATATTCTGACATTGTGAATACTGGATGCTTCTGAACTGCGGCCGTCGATGCGTTAGAAGACGCATCCGCGAATGCTTTCTGAATTGCGTTCGCGAACATTCCCGTAAGGGACTCTATAACGTTTGGTGGAATAGACATCGTGCTATCCCACTTCTGACACCAAAAATTATTGTGTATGAACTTATTTTATTGAATATAAAACAACGAATAAAAAATGACAAATAAGTAAAATGAAATTTGATTTAAATATTGATGATACAACAAGTTAAAACACAACAGAGTTGCCACAATTGTAAATAAAATTATTAAAACTCGATTTTATCATAGATATCTTAATTTTTAACAACTTTCCATGGTAGTGGTTTGGTCACATTTCTATAAAGATCATCATTATATATTTCTTATACGACAATAGTAAAGACCTACACGGTAGGTATTATAAGTTCCCAATATTGACTGATAAAAAATAATATTATACATATTAATTTGTATTTTTGCTACTACTTACAATTTTGTAATCTAATACTAATTTTTTGTTATTTTAATTGATAATTTATTTACTTTTTTAATAAGTAAATAATAAATAATATTCTACCCCCTTATTCACAAACAACATTTTTATTTTATAAAAGGTTTATAAAACAAAATACCGTTTATAAAATAAAAATTTTGTTTGTGAATAATTTTTCAATTCATGTATAATTTTTAATAAATTTTATCTTATAATACATATTTACTTTACGTGAAGAGATTTTTGGGCATGTGGGATTGTCTTTTTGTAAGGTAAATTAAAATAAAAAACACGGTGGCAACATGTAATTTTTTTGACAAAAGTATCTACTTTTGTTGTTTTTGTAGAATTGACTTCACCTTATAAGTGCACCCTGACAAAACCTAAGTCTGCTGTCAAAAACCTAAGTCGTGAGAATGTATTAGTTGAAAAATATGTAACCCAACAAACACAAACTCTTTCGTTTAAAAAGTTTTTATATTTTTGTTTGATATTATATTTCGATATTTTATGAAATAATGTTTTGAATTAGCCATTTTTATTCAATATCAGTTGATCAATGTAAGAAAGATCTTCATTAAAAATTATTCTTAATTTTAAATAAACTCTTTGAAAATTATATTAAAAAAATAAAAACGATTGAAAAATTTGTTTTTTTCTGAAAATGTTTTCAATAATTTTATAGGAAAAACATAACTTTTAGCAGTGTTTAATGCAGCAACAGGGGCTATTTTGCCAAAGGAATTGTGCTAATGCTAAAATTAACGGTTGATATGAACGATTATTGTTAATTTCAAAGCAGTCCAAATGCAGTCAAAATACACCCTACACCACACTAATGGGAACGGCATTTTGTTTATGTCTTAAAGTTTGTAACACCTGCGTCGATGTAATGATGTAATCCGTCCATAAATTAGCCTATTGAACTTATTTGTAAGCGGTACATGCTATACAAGAATAGGGTATTTATAAAATTCGACTCAACAAATTTTATATATACGAAATTTTGACTATATATTGTTATAATGAGTAGTACATTCATTAATTAAGCAAACATCAATCTCTTGAATATAACTTCTACATTAAAAAATACTAAATAACTTATTGCTACTTACTCGCAATGTGGTAGGGTATGATGTATACGGATACATTTTGTACTTTCATATCTTTGTTATTTTATGTAAACAAAAATACAAGTGTGTGTGTTTCATTGCCTTGTACAGTTTCGTATGTTTGATGTATGTTGGTTTCATTGCGTTGTGTATTTTGTTTTTTTGTGTATTTCGTTTCGTATGTTTGGATGTCTGTTGGTTTTACTGCCTTGTGTATTTGTTTCGTTTAGCGTTGTTGTTGTTGTTCATTTTGTTTTGCTATTGCTGTAATAATGATATAATCGGGAAAATTAAGTAGGTACATTAATTTAAACTTTATAAAATTTATATTTTTTAAATACACTATGGTGAAGGGTATATAAGAATCGGCACAGCCGAATATAGCACTCTTACTTGTTTTTCTATGCCAACAGACATCCAAACATACGAAATTCAATACACCAAGAAAACAAAAACAATATACACAAGGCAATGAAACACACAGCCATCCAAACATACGAAACGAAATACTCAAAAAAACAAAAACAAAATACAAAGGCAATGAATAAGCAGTGTTGTTGTTGTTTATTTTTTATGAAATTTTCAGAGGCTGTCTCGGTTTTTTGCTTATATCTCCGTTGTTTATGAACGGATTTTGCTGTTTTTAAATAGGAAACTTCTCGAAAGCATGTCTGATAGAATTATTGAAGATTTGGATCCCGAAGATATCTGGGGTCTTCAGAAAACTGATTTCAACAGACAGACAGACGGACAGACAGACATGGCATAATCGACTCCGCTACCTATAAGGATTCAGTATATATATACTTTATGGGGTCGGAAAATTATATTTTGGAACTTACAAACGGAATGACAAACTTATATATACCCTTCTCACGAAGGTGAAGGGTATAATTATGGCTCAAAAATGAAAATAAAAATATTTTTTGGAAACAAATCCCGGGATTAATTTTTCAAATCCCTAGTAGTGCAAAAGTTTTATGTTACGTGTGACGCCAAAAGTCGAATATCTCGTTTTTGCCACCATTGAATTTTATTTTATTTTTAAGTGAATTGTTATTTTATGTTTAGTTCAATGAAATACTATTTTATTTGTTTTATGTAATGACTTTGAATTTAACGTTTTGTCTATAAGAGTACGCCATCTGTTGGTAAAGCGAGCAGTTAATATTATATTACTACTTTAAAATACAACTATGTACCAAGCACCAAACAATACAATAGTACGATCGTTACCAACGATGTTTGTTGTAAAGTACTTGGGTGACATAGGTATAAAAGGCGAGTCGCTGTGAAATTAAGTTTAGTCTG